AAAACAAGCAATACTCTTTTTTATAGGTTCTATCATTTATTGGAGCATAATAGCTCAATTACATATTACAAGATAACAGTTTGGCTCCGAATTTATTAATGCAGTACCTCACTAATTAGATGCCAGGCGTTTAGAGCTAACCATTGAACCTAGGAGACTATGATCCTCCGCACTACAAGTAAAATGCGGACATTTACTTTACGAAAGTTATTAAGTATGCAGAAATCAGCCAGAAATACCTACCTTAAAGAGAGTGGCTCAGGGTCTCAAGCACCGCCATTTTGCATCTCAAAAAGCGCGCCATATTTCCTTAGCCATCAGCGTTGCCCCCCATAATTTCCTAAGTATAGCTTCGACGGAGGTCTGACCTACCGTCTGGAGGCTATCTTCGTGATAAAAGCGTATAGCCGGCTTCTCTCCTGAATGTCAATTGCAGTTCACTTTAAGATTCATTGAAAACTATCATGTATTTGTATTATTGAATCAATAAGATAATCCAAGCCCAATAAATTCGACTGGATCTCAATGAGAAGTTTAAAGTCAAATATATAGTACATTTATAAGCTACTAAGGTCGTCGATATGAATGTGTATATAAGGAAATCTTGAGGTGCAAAGTGGTGAACAGCTAAAACCTTAACTTACACTATCCTCTTCTGCAGAAAGATAAGCATCATCTTTGTCTTCCCGTGATATCGAATCAGGACTCTCATCATCTGCAAGGTCTTCAAATTTTGACCCTGTTTCACTCACTCGATTCTGTTGTTGACACAAATCGTTAGGTGAGCCAATGGGTTTTGAAGAATTGTCGATACTGAGTGATGCAACAGGTTCTGATATAGTGGGGCTTTCAATATCAAACCAGGTTTGGAAAGTGGATCTAAAGCCAGCCGCTTCTCGAGTCATGCTTAGGATCTGTCGAGCAGACATTGACTGGGGATTTGAGCCAGAAAATGACCGTGAGTAAGGAGGCGAATCTAGAATGTCAGCGTCCTATATCCAGAGAAGTAATCAAGAATTGAATTAAAGAAGAAACACCAACTAAATATCGAACTTGTAATGAGATAAAAGTAAGAAGTGGTTAAAATCAAAAAGAGCGAAATAAGTGTAATTGACAAAAAACTCAAAGCAAGGAAGGAGAGATGGGTGCAAGCGAAAAATAGTATTTTAAACAGCTAAGAGAGAATTTAATACAGTGCACTAATAGGAAGTGAGATTGATTAATCTGATAGGGAATGCAGAGTTTAATAGCCAAAATCACTGGCATGAAATCAAAATCATTCATAGGTATATGTTTAAAATTAAAATAATTATCTGATCACCAAAATGAATAGTACTGATAAAAAAATTTAATACGAAAACTGTGGGATACTATGTATTGTCATTTGATAATTACAACAGGAAACTTAAAAATATTATCTAGTCCTATAAAAAATGACCAATTCAATAACCCTGACTTTAAATAACTCAAGAGGTAAATTTAAGAATAAATCTTGGCCTATAACACTCGGCAAATGTCTAAAAAGTTGTGAAAAGAGAACCTAGGCTAAATTGGATTGAGTTTTATTTAATATATCGCAATTTTCCACACACACATGTATGAACACCCAAAGATTTCTTTCATTGGATTTCTCAAACGTAATAAAGAAAGTGAATCT